ATCAAAGTGCAAAAGTCATGACAGACAACAGCAACAGCAAACAACAACAACAAAAACAACTCTCAAGAGTCATAATCATGCGAATGTCAAAGTTAATGCCGTCTCTGGCATTAAATTGCCGAAAAAAAAACCCAAGCATCAGAAATATGAGTGGTAGAAGAAGAAAAAAAAGAAGAGAATAAGCAGAAGCAGAAGCAGAAACAGAGTTCATCATTTTATGGGCTGTCATTGTTGGGAATTGCTTTCGAGGTTTGAGTGGGTTTTTTCTTATTTTTTTTTTGTTAGCAGCCTTTGTCTGCGCTTTGCGTTTAAGTGATTTGACGCCTCTCATCATACCCCATCGGGGGGTATAGCAATGGCCTATGCTTTGTCATTTTTCTCGCGCCAAAACCAAAAAAAAGAAAGAAATATATAAAAGATAATATTATCTACTGCAGTGGTTTTTTTCTGCATGCATGAGTATTTATGTGGCTATATTGTTTTAGCTTTTCTTTATTTTTTTCGGGTTTATCTGCATTCTAATTCAATGAATCTGTGGTTGGGGTGGTCATATATCATTATTTTGCAGCATAATATGCAGCAAAACATCAATGTGCATGGCAGCATGGTGATTTTTAATTAAGATTAAATGGCAGGCTAAGGGATAAATACATTGATTTGGTAGGGTTATATTACCAACTAAGATGGCCATAATGAAAAGCTATTGCCAATCCAAAATTATTTATTTATTTGGTCTGTAGCACTAAGAGCTATAAGAATTAGATAAATTCATTGGTTAAAATTAAATAAATAAATAAATATAATAAAATAAAAAGTAAAATTAATAAAACTAATAGTCGTATTAGTTTTAATATTTAATCTTTAAATTATTGATTTTAATTTATATTAATAAATAATAAATAAAAAATAATGTAATAATAATATAAATATAAATATTTAATAATTTAATAATTTTTATTCTGTTTTATTTTATTTGTATGTATATTTGCTTATTTAATTATTAATTTTTGTCTATTTTTACTTTTATTTATTATTTTTATCTTTTCTATGTTTTTTATGTCTTTTGTGTATTTTTATTTATAAGCTAAAAGCCTGCCTAAATTTCTAAAAATTCCCACAAAAGTATTTTAAAATTTGTTGTGTTTATCAAAGTAGCTTGGAAAACATAGAAATTTCCCATCCATTAAAATAGAATCATTTCAAAACAACAACAAAAATTATCGCTTACAAAATAAATAGTAACAGTTTTTTTGGACCTTCAATAATGTCGAAATTTAATCCCTTCAATGAGCAACGCAATCACAAGTCACCCGAAGTGGAATCTCTGCATAAAATCAGTGGCAGTTCCATCGAATCCATGTATCAGGATGTGAATGCAGCCACAATGGCAGCAAATAGGGAGCTGCTCAAGTCGCTGATAATTCCCGAGCTGCAGGGCCGCATGGACATGTTCTCCAGAGAGATACTTAAACTGAAAAACACATTGGACTCCAATAGACAAAACATGGCAGAAATAAACGATGATATAGCGGACATATATTTGACCATGTATCAGATCTACAGGCGATTTGAAAAGCACGATAGAAAGACGGCGAAAACAAGCAAGAAGGAACGTGTCAGATTTGCAGAGGCAGAAGCTAGGAAGCAGGCAGAAGAAAGAGTCTCTGAAATACCAGAAAAAGTGGCGCCACCGGATCGCCATCAAGGCGGACAACAGTCGGAGCTTCGAGCTTCGCACTCCGACACACAGCTGCAGAGAGGCGTACACTTTGCGTCTGTGGTGGATCTGGAGAGAATTGAAAAGCGGCAGTTCCTCAAAAATATGCTTTTCTATAAGAAATCGAAATTTACCATCAATCTAAATCGGAATCATGTGTACTTCCCGGAGCTGGTGAAAGTATTAACTGACATCAAACAATTGGCAGAGACTTCCAGTTCCAGTTCGACTTCCAGTGCCACTTCCACTGCCACTTCCACTGTCACTTCCACTGCCACTTCCACTTCCACTACATTATCTTCATCCGAAACTGACCTTCAATAGAATTTGGTTTAAATACAACAGAAAATAAAATAAACTCAACTACAGTTTAAAGTGTGATTACACCCGAAAGCTAACCCTGATGACTTCCTTACACGTTTTTTCTCTTCATCTGCAATTGCTGCCCTCCCCTCTGGTTCTCTCTCGGTTCAGTTCGTTTCAATTGCTTTGTAAACAAAACAAAGTGCAAATTTATGTGGTAAACCCACTTGAAAAAGGAACCTTTTTTGTGTGAGAGCAGCAGGGCAATGCAAAGCTTTGATTGTTACTTGAAATGTATCTGCCAGGTGTAGCTGTATCTGTAGTACGGGCTGTGCAGCCCCCACTCGTAGCTGGTAGCTGTTCTGTGTGTGTGTGTGTGTGGCAAAGTGGCAAGTCAGGTGCGTTAGCTGCTGTGCTTGCCTCTTCCATTCCATTAGCCTCAAGTTTAAAGCATTTTTAAAGTCGATATTTGCATTTGATTTTGAGCTGTAAGGAGACGTCGCATTATCATGGGCTTTGGATTAGAGGGTGGATGGGAATATCTGCTGCTCCTCCTCCTGCTCCAAGCGATAAGTTCGGGCCAGAGCTCTACACCATTTCTTTCTAATATCTAATCTGCTGATTGCATTGCAGCTAACCATAACCCATAGCTATAGTCCCCATTGTCTTGGCCTAAACGGGGTTAATTCGATTATGGTGCAGCACACAATCGTTGGGGGGGGAGTAAAAACACACACTTCTTAATTGATTGTGTGGCAAAGGTTTTTGCCCGCCCAACGAGATTAATTGATGAATGGCAAACCGATGGAGACCGACCCCCGGATGGACTCGCTCTCTCTCTCACTCTGATGTCACAGACAATTCAAAACTCTCAGTCTATTGGCTGCCATTGTGTGCTGTCCTTTTTTTTACTGCTGGCAAGTTGTGTGCACTCAAAATAATAGACCAGAGCCAAAGCAAAATAGAACAGAGGATCCACCAGAGAGCACAAATACAACAAAGAATTGGGAGTGGGTGAGGGTGGGGGGTGTGGTGGCAGGTAGAAGGAGTCTTGTGTTTGTGTTTGTGGATCTCTCTGACTGTGTCTCTGTGCTCTCTCTCTGTGTAATGGCAGCGTTTACTCAATTTTTAGTACATAGTAAACGTATTTCTTTTATGGCCCCGTAGGTTATTTGTGTATGTGTATGGGAAGAGCGAAACAATTCCAGCAAAAATATATATACACATGTATATATCCCCATCCCTGACACAATAAACGAAGTTCGTTTCCTGAGTGGCCATTTTACTGCGAGGCCTTTCCACATGGAGTGCCACAGTCAGAGCCACAGTCAGTGCCCCTCTTGGACCATCCTTTCTAAGTAAATATTCGCACACAAATATGATGAAGTATAGCAGTGGGTGGGGAGAGGGGGGCAGTCTCGGATTGCTGCTACTGGTTTGCTTTTAATTGCTTTCAAGTAAACATAGAAGAATGGCTGCTGCTGCTGTCCAGCCCCGCTTGCTTTTAGCACAAAATGGGAACATAAATATAATTGCCAGGTTGGGTTAAGGGTTTGGGCTTGGCTTTAAAATTGCAAGACTTTCGACTTTAGGCCATATGTGGCTCTAGATTTGTGTTTGTGTGTGTGTATTGACTTTGTTTGTTTATGTGAGTGTGTGTGTGTGTGAGTGTGCACTCTGCCGTAGGTGTCATTTAATTTAATGCCACGATTTGGCAGCTTACATATTTACTACTCGCTCTTCCCCCCTCTCTCACTCTCTCTGTCTCTCTGACACTTTGATTATTGTGGTCGAGCTCCATTGTTGGCGCCAGCACTTGATTTGATTATTAAACTGTTCAGCAGAATTTTCACAACTATTTTTCACATAAAAAACTATAAATAATGCCCTAACGTACCCTAAAAAATTAAATTAAAATTTAAGAACAATTTTCAATTAAATTAAATTATTAAAAAATATTTATTATTAAAATTATTATTAAATTATTATTAATATTAAAATATTATTTATATTTATTTATTTTTATTTTATTTATTTTTTTGCAAAAATCCAAAAAAAACCAAAGTTTTGCTGTCAAGTGTCGCCGTATTTGCACAAACCCGCAGTGTGAATGATTTTTTTTTGTTGTGTATAAATCAAAGGAGAAGCAGCTAAGGGTGGGGGGGGGAAGCTGGCCTGTGCCAGCTGCATTAGGCCATAAATTTGCCAAAAAGTAAACAGTTAACATTTTATTGTGTTCTTTACTGCTCGGCGCCCCCGCCGCCATTCGACGACTGTTTTAAATAATTATTTAACATTTTACATTTTACATTGTTTAGCTCGCTCGCGTTTCTCCCCACTATCATGCGGGTGTGCAGGCAGTGGGGTAGGGGGCACTGCTCTGCTTTTGTTTGTTGTAAAGATTTGCACGATTTGCATTTGTGCCAAAACGATTCATGAATGATTCATGTGTTCGCCAGACCAGAAGCAGATGTCGACAATACTCCCAAGCCCACCCTCACCCCACCCCAAATACCAAGCCACGGGACTCTTCGATTCGATTTATACAATGGAAGGGACGTGCCGTGGGTAGGCAGAAAGGGTACTGATAAAATGCTTTAAAGAGTTTTCCGTTTGAAAAAGTTTTCTGGTTTTTAAATAAAATAAAATTAAATTTTAACAAATTAAAAAACTATTTTTATTTTAATTTTAATTTTTTATTTAACAATGGATTTGCATTTGCGTCAAATTATTAAAAAAAAATTAAAATAAAATTTTTTTTTTTATATTATATATTATTATATTATTTATAATATTATTATTATATATATTATTATTATTATATATATTATTATTATTATTTTATTTAAGAGTTATAATAAAAATTAAAAATTAATTTTTTTAATTAGCTAATTAATTTTTATTTTGCATAATTTTTAACGGCGTCTGACATAAATTCCAAGGGCTAAGGAAAATCTTTCATAGACACTCCAAAAACTGAGCACGTCCTGTTTTAAATGCCATAGAACCTACATACATAAAAATAGATTCCCAATAGAAGCAATGCCGTACCTTAGAATGAATTCAGAGGTACCGCCCGTACAGTCGCTCGCTGTCGCCTCTGAATCCATACGTGTGGGCCGCATGCGTTCGAATGCCACAAACATCATTGATCATGGCATAAGGCCGAAGTTATCGAAGCTACCGATTGGCCAGAATATGAACAGAACCAAATACAGGCTGACAGAGGATGACAAAACCATGTGGGTGACCACCGCCACAGAGGTAATTGGAGTGCAAAAGAAATACATACAACAAATGGGCATGGATATGGATAATTATTTTAATCCCCAGTTTCCCGACAAACAGAAACATATTAAAACCGTTGGGCAGTTAGATAAAAAAGTATCGAAGCCGCCAAAACTTGCCACAATACCTGAAGAACCAGAAGCGGAACAGGCTTGTGCCCTTGAGTTGCTGCAATCTGCGGATTTTATCAATGCTGTGGAGCTGCAAAGCGGCGCTCAAGCCGCCAATGCTGTCAGGGAGTGTCTGATGAATCGTCAAAGCGAGGCCGATAGCAGCAAATGGTGTCGAAAGAGCCTGCGACGGCTGCAGGAAGTCACAGGACCAGACACTGTTACGCCCATCGATAATGCCCAGGCTTTGCATCGTGTTCGATCATCTGTGGGTGGCAGCCATTTCTTTAAATCTAAGAAAGAAATTGGTGCTCTTAACAACAAGAAAAAGCCATTTTCACCCAAAGAGCAATTGCGGAAAGAAAATGCTGTAGGCATGGAGACAATTATGAACGATGGGAAAATGTCTCTGTCCACATGCGATGCTATAAAAGATTTAAATGCGATGAAGGACACCCAGTCGAAAAGCTCAAGTTCAACTGAATATTCAAACGATATTTCAGTTATATATGAAAATGATGATTTTAAGCTGAGTACGGAAACCACAACGTCTCAATCCGATGGATATTTTGCCATAGAAAAGAAGAAGAAATGCCGCAAGAAGCAATACAAGAGCCGTTCAAAGGTAAGCTTTTACCTTGATAACAATAAACTAATTAAATCTTACAGCTAAAATCTTTGCACCGCAGTTCAGGGAAAATGCTAATATTGAACCAAAGATAGTTACAGGGGGGGACTACTCGGTGACTACCCAATCAACAACTGATACCGAAAAATCACATGCCAACGATTTAAACAACAAGAAAAATATGTTGAAGCCTTTAAAAATAATGCAGAATATTTTGTTTGGGCAAGGCGATGACTCCTTGGACACTCCAACTAAACCTAAAGACAACGGCGCGGAGCAGATCGAAGCTTCATTGCAGTTTGCAGATCGCTCCAAAAGCAATGATAAATTCAATTGCCTAAAGCTATTCCAGTCAAAGCGCACCGTCAGCTATCTAGTTTGGGCTCCAACAATATGTGTGCTAGCCATTTTGTTTCTGGCATTGGCGCTGTGTGTGCGCTTCATATTTGTGGAGCCGGATCCACCATATTGGCAAAAGCTGCTAAAATTTATTTACCAAAAGTTAATGAAAATCTAAGTTAACATATATATTTTTTATTAGATCCAAAAATATATTTATTTACTTCAACCAAAACAAACACCAAGAGACACCAAACCAAAACAAAGCAACCCTTGACTTTGGTGTTAAATATTCACCAACCAAAAATCATTACCGATAAAATTACCGCCCAACGTAAGTAATATATTTTTGTTGCAATTTTTTAAACTTAATTTTAATGTTCTAATCGATCCTACTGGGTAAGTGCATGGCTCAGTTAATTCTAGGCCACATATAGCGAGCGATAATATTACATATGTGCACCGAGACATCACGCGACAAAGTGCACGAAAAATAAGTGAGAAAACGAAAGTATAAAGTGAAGTACTACAACATTTGCGAGGCAACAAAACTAGCGACAATACCCGAAGATACAGAAGTGCTGCCAACGCGCAATAGATCTGCGATGAACCCAACAAATGGGCAATATCTCAGTGCCAACGATGCACGTTTAAAGGTAATTAATAAATCTCAGCTCACATATATAAAATAAAATACATTTTTTTAAATTTAAATCTGCAGTTAAAGAAAAAATCAAAGATGAACACTACAGATGAAAACAATCCAAGCGCTGCCAACGATGCACGTTTAAAGGTAAATAATCTCAGTCCACATTTAATAAAATAAAATAAATTTTTTTATTTGCAAAATTTAAATCTGCAGCTCAAGAAAAAATCAAAGATGGAGCCTACAGATGAAAACAATCCAAGCGCTGCCAAAACAGCCAAAGATGCGCGTTTAAAGGTTATTTTCTCTCAGTGCAAAAATGTATTTATTCTTTTAATTGAAATCTTTAAATCTGCAGCTTAAGAAAAATTCAAAAATCAAACGGCAGATCCAGCAAAATTCAAAGATGCATCCGCAGATCAAGCCAATTTCAAAGATCCAATGGGTTTCCATTGTGCGGCATCCGAGACCAAAGTTTGCTCTAATCTTAGAAAAACCAGAAAAAGAAAAAGCTTTGTGCGGCGAATTGTTAGTTAATGCTGCCATTCCAGCTCCAAAAAGATATAAATTAATGAGTAGAAACCATGCAAAGCACGGCCTAACCCGAAAGGACAAGCTAATGACTGTGTTGGGTGCAGTTTTATTCATCTTATGGGTACTATTTATGAGCTGCTGGACGCCGAAGCCACCAAGTCAAAACTTTTGGTAACCATTCTGGACATATTTATTCAACAAAATATTTATTTATATTTTATATTTAGTTTATATTTTGTTAGATTAAATGTTGTTGTGCAAACCAAAATTGTGGTTCATTTATTCCAAGCAGTCTCCTGCTTAAATATTTAGTAACCTTTATCGCTTTTTTTCTTTCTTTTTTTTTTGAATGGATTTGCCACGTCTTTTACTTCTCCAAATGGAGATGAAGATGGAGCGGACTATTGGTTGGGGTAGTCCACTGGCTGCCAATCGTGCCAGTCAGCGTCAGCAAATGCAAATTTAATGGTCTATGAAAAGGTAGACCAGGCAAATGCTTTTAACCACATCCGTTGCTATTAGCTCCAAAGGAGCAATGGTGGGGGCAGGGCGGAATGGTATGGGCATGGTTGGTCTGAATAACAATGGAAAATGACGCCAGTGGAAAATGTGAAAATCAATGCGCATTAGTGATTGGTGTTTATTTCATCTTATTCTGGCTGGAGAGCGCTAGAGAGAAAAATGGGCAGCAGTGCGCTGAATTTTACATTAGCTTCAGTTCGCCTCCAGGGCTATGCGCTATGGCCCATCAAACCGCATAACTGTGTCGCATTCGAACACCCAAAATCAATTGCTTAGCTCTGAGATATCGCTGGGAAAATGAAGCTACTAAAAAGTGTGACCCAAAGCAGTTTAAATCTTCAACAAATAGTCGATTTTTGTGCATCAATCAACACAGAGGATACAAAGATACAGAGATACATAAATACATAGATACACAGATACACAGAAACATAGATACATAAATACATAGATATGCATAGATATTGTATTGTTGGTCTGACTAACATTTAGTCTAATGGCATTGCTTAGTTCCGCCGACAAATATGAGCTAAAAAAAAAAAAAGAAACCTGCACAAATGATGACTGTGGCTGTAGTATGGGGGGGATATATGTGGGGGATGGTAGCTCGGGGTATATTCTGATGGAATTGAAGTGGATTTGTTTGTGTCGCTCTCTCTCTCTCTCTCTCTCTCTATCTTTTTCTTGTGGCATTTCCTGCCGTGTTGTGTACTGTCCTGTCCTGTCCTGTCATTCGTGCATGCAATTCAAAGCATAGACATAGATACACACACACACACACACAGAGACACAGAAATACTCACCCAAAAGCACACTCATCCGAGGGGCAATGCATTCAAGCGCAAATTAAGCTTGACAAGCAAAAATTAAACTGTGTATCTCAGTGTGTGTGCGTGTGTGTGTGTGTGTGTATGTCTCTATAAATATTTCCGCACATGTCTCTCTGTATTTCTGAATGATGTGTGCATGTCCCCCCCCCCGCCACACCACAGTGTATGTGTGTGTCTCTGCTTGTTTGGCAAAATATAATTTCTTCAATGTTCAGTTCATTAAACAGAGCAAACCAACTTGGAAAAGCACTTACCAATGAATAGATTTTCAGATACAGCTGGAATAGCACCAGATATATATACAGAACGAGTGAGAGAGAGCTGCGAATACAGTGAGTGCAAATAAATATTCAAATTAGGAAATGGAAGACCAAAAAAAAGTGTTCAAACTACTTCAGAGCAGCACATAATATTAAATATAAATATTTGATACAAATTATATTGTATTTTAATAGGTACCTATTTGAAACTGAAGAACTCATCATTTCTTTCGAATTTTGCGAATTTTCTTTGGCTTTTGTTTGCTAGATTTTAAAAGCTGTCTCAAATAAATTTTCAACGAATCCTTGAGAAAAGTCCTGGAACTGTCAAAACGGCTAGACCAACACCATTGCGAACGGCATATAAAACGGAACTTATTCTGAGATTTTTTCATTTCTCTGATTTATTTTACGAGATTGCCATACGGGGGGCTATCTACCCTAGACAAATATCAAAAAATATGATAATAAATAAATAAAAAAATAAATATTAAATGAGTACAAATTAATATTAATAAAAATAAAATAAAATAATAAAAATTGTTTAAATGAGCACATAAAATACATTAAATATTTGATACAATTAATATTGCATTTTGATAGCTCTTCATTTATACTTAATCGTAGACACAGCAGCTACAAGAAATTTCTTACGCTTTTGGTTGCTAGATATTAAAAGCTGTCTTAAACAGAACGTTCAATAAGCCCTGGGCAAATGCCTGGAACTGTTGAATGCCAACAGCAAGTTCATCGCGATCCGCCTACAATAATTGCAGTTATTCAGAGAGTTTTCCAATATGCTCTAATTATAATAATCTTTATCATACCCTTCCCCTGAATTATCCCTTAAAATTATAGCCAGTAAGATATACCTGTACCTACAATCCTCTAGTTTTTTTTTATTTTTTTTCGTATATCCCTTTTTTTTCCATTAAATTTAATCATAGCTTATATTAGCAGATAGTTGCTAAGCCTCTTCAAAAAATAAAAATAAAAATAGAGTCTCAGTAAAAAAGCACTGATGAGGCTACCATATTGGGCGCTATTTTCCCCAGAATAAATATATTTTCAGCAGCTTTTGGTGATCCATTCGCAGCCATAGCCAAAGGTTTAATTTGGTTTATTAACTCACCCGTAGATCATTTCCCTGCTAGCGCTCAAACCTCTGCAGATGTTCAACTAAGTAGAGATACCCAACAAAAAAAAAAACACAAAACAAAAAAACATCGAATCTGTGTTGCAGAATTTATCCCAATTAAAAGCATTTCCCCATTGGCTTCGCCAAAAATTGTCGTGTTTGAAAGTGGATTTTCCACCGAAAAATACGGAATAGATTGGTCCGCGGGGCCTAAATCAATTGCCAGCATCGAATAGAACACTGCCACGCTATTTCCTGGCCATGCCAGCCCATCCTGCAGCCATATTTCGTGCCATTTTTATGAGGCATAGGCGAACAAAAAAATTGCCTATGCAGAGAGAGAGAGTCGAGTCGAGAGTTGAGAGTCGATGTCCATGGTACATGGTCCATGGTCCATGGAGAATTCCATGCGACGCTGAACGCTGTCAACAATCACGAACCAATTGTCTATAAATACCAGCAGCGTTAAAGCAAACCCACTCACAGAGTGGAGGATCCAGTCGATGTCGAGTCGATGCCACCACCAAACGCACAGTCTCTCTGGGCTCCCCGTGATACTGGGGACCCTTGTCATCCTATTGGCTCTGGTGTGGGGTGGTGTGGGTTGTGGGGTGTGTGGTGTCGGGTGGCTTCGACTTCCGCTCTGTCGTTTTTCATTACATCGCATGTAACTTCCGGTTTGTTAAAGCGACACGCACTGTGCTCTTGTGCCTGTGCCTGTGCCTGTGCCTTTGCCGTTGCCTGTGCCTTTGCCTCTCTCCTACACTCGTTGTTATGGCTGCTGACATCCGTGCAAACAGTACGAAACGAATGAGCCAATGTCCTGCGGATGTGCCAAAAATCGTGTCAGCTAGTTATTCGATATTCTTCTCTGTCATAAAATCTCTTGTATTATCTTTAACACAAGAACCTCCTTCAAGTACAGTCACTGGGCAGTGACCCCATTACACTATCGATAGGTGCAGAGCGCTGCCAGCATCACGTTGTCATCTCTAGTAGCAACGCACATAACGTACCGGAATCGTCATTGAGCAGGCTTGGCTTTGACTCTCTGGCCGTAGACTGCCGCCACTGTCCACACTACCGCCGGATCGACTGTTTGTCCGCACGTTTAGAACTGGAAATGACAAATTCACTGTAGGTGGGCCGCCGGCCGCCCATCGCCCCATCGCCCCATCGACTGCTCGCCTGCTTGCTCTTCGCTCTCCGCTTAACTCCTGCAACACGTTTGCGACTCAGCAAACACCATCATCAATTTCCGTGGGGAAATCACACAAAATTTTTGCACAAACAAAATGTTTGGTTGTCGGTGGGGTCCCAGGTCCAGTACGCTCCCATTCGAGCAGACCAGCCCAGCGTCCAGCTTTCTGCTATTGAAAAAAATATACCAAATGGCCACGAATTTTTGCATGTGAACACTGGCTGCTGCGGTGAGTGTGTGGGCGGTGTGGGGTGGTTTCGGTTGGTGTGGGGTTTATCTTCGGTACGCCGGCGTTTGGTTTTCGTTTTTAGAGCTTAGTCCGTGGGCGGCTATATCGACATGTTGAGGTGGAATATTGCAATGAAAGTAACTAAATCTGGATTTGTCTTCATTAAGGCAGGTTCCCCTTTTTTTTTGTACCAATTGAATTGTTGAAGAACGGGATTTTTCTGCTGGTACTTGGACTCAATAAATGGTCAAAAGGCTGTGTGAGAATGAATGTTGGGTGTTTTTTTTTTTTTGATAAATAAATAAGAGTTTCAGATAATTTTGATCCATAACATTAATCAATGAATGAACCTGTGACTAAAAAGGGAAGGTCAATTAATTTCTAGTTATTATTATTAGTTTTCATTTTTCATTAATTTTTTTTATTATTTATTATTTTCTTTTTATTTTTCTTTTGAATTCATTTATTTATTTTATTTTTTTTTTGTATTGTATTTTATTTTGAATTAAATAATTTTATTATTATTTTTTTGTTAGTGTTTTTTACCAATTTTCATATATTAAATAATTATTGCTTATGTATTTTATTTGTCTATTCTATTCTATTCTAGTTTACTATTTTTTTTAGTGTTATTCACCAATTTTCATATTTTACATAATTATTGTCTATGCATTTTATTTTTCTTTTCCATTCGCGAATCAAAAATTTTGTATTTCTTTACTATTATTATTCTGTTTAAATATTTAATTTTTCTTTTGAATTGATTAATTTATTTCGAATTTTTAATTCATTTTTTATTTAGATATATTAATAAAATATCATAATTAAGTTTCCACTACCAGTGTAGCCCACAACTTTTCAAGAAAATTCCAAAAATTGTCACACATTTTTCTAAAAGATTCCGCCACTATTTTAAAAGCTCTTCAGCCAGTAGCTACTTTAATCTACAAAACAGTTAAACAATCTTCAATAAAAACTTTGCCAAGTCTCTCATAAGAAATCTGCCTTTAAGTCGAAAGTTTAGTTGACCCACAGTTAACGCCCAGACGACACTGTCCACCCCACCCACGCATTGGGCCATTACTTGCAGTCAAGTCGAGAAGAAGTCCCCTCTCGAAACTGTTGCCCAATTAGCCACAATTTCGTCTCATTTGTTGCACTCACTTGTGGGCAGGGGTCAGAGCACTCCTCAAATTATGATGTGGGGATGAAGAGAGATTTCGGTTTATATCTTTTATTGCAGCTCTTTCGAATGTTGTTTGTTATTGTGGGTAATAAGTAAAAGTGGTTCAGGTTCTGGTCCAGGTTCTGGTCCCACCGTATAATTTGCGTAACATAAAACTTTCAAAAAGTCATCAAAAGTTTATGCAGACGGAAACCACCTAAGTAGGGGGGCGGAGGACAACGACAACAACCCACCAACAGCCTTGTTTTCTCCCTCACATTTCCCGAGTATTTTCCATGTTGTTTTTTGCATATGTTAACAGGGTAAATTTTTCAACGCTTTGCAAAGTTATGGAAAACTTTTTAAAGCCTTCTTTCCAGGATCTTTAATGCAGCAACAGCAACAGCAGCAGCAGTAGTGCTCGGGGAAATACAGAGGTGTTTGAGCTAATTAGCCAATGCCCCCCAATGGGCGCAAAAAAAGCGCACTAAAAGTAAACTCGATTCGATGCTATCGAGTTGCGCTTTCTTTTGCCCCCGCTGTCCAGGCCATTTCCCTGTCCCTCCGGCTGCTTATTTCTGCTTCGTTTACTCCTGCCGCGCGTTGTAATTGCAAAAGTTTATCTTTATCTCGGCCACAGCAGCAGCAGCAGGAGCAGTGGCAGCAGCAGCGCGGTAGCAACATCAGCCACTAAAGCGGCAAATGGTCACATTAAAGTAATTACATCCAATGCTCTTTCTCTCTCTCTCGCTCTGCTCTCATGCAAAGCTGCTGCTGCCGCTGCTGATGTTACTCGAGATGTAACCAAAGGCGAACAAGAAACCGCTAGTAGAGATTACGTAGAGTATTGCGGCTAAAGGATGCTCATTAAAAAATTTAATAAATAAAATAAAAATAATAAATAAATAAATCATAATAATAAAAAATAAAAATAAAATAAAAAAATTAAAATAAATAAAAATAAAAAAATAAATAAAATAATAAAATAATTGTATATAAACATAAAATAATATTTACAATTAATACTCTCGGAGAATATCTCTTGGTATAAATTCTGAAATGTAAATACAAATATTTAAATTTTCTGAGATTTTTTTCTCTGTGTGCAAAATCTGAAAATTCATTGTTATATTTTTTAGTCTTTTGGATGATATTATTTGGTATTATTTATCCTTTAAAAACAATGGAAAAGTAGATAAAATATTTATATATATAATTCTATTTTAATTTTTCAATTTTTATAATACTTAAAAAAAGTGAAAATTTTCAATTATAATTATAAAATAAAAATAAATAGAAATAAAATAAAAATTATTATTATAAAAATTTAAAATACAAACTATAATAATAAAAATATTATAAGAGTAATTCCAAATTATTTTACTAAATATAAAATATTAATATTTATTTCATAATTTCTTTTATACAAACTATAAGTCTTACGATTCCTGATTTTTTCCCTCTATTCCACTCAAATACCCAAGTGCACAAAAGTCACTGTTGTAGCCCAATAAATCTCAAAAACAATATACCCTTGTGCTGCACAGCGTACCCCGTATAAAAGGGCAAGTTCTTCGAATTAGTCTTGGCCCTACGCTAATTTGATACCAGAAACCAGCAACGCAAGGTTCAGCGAAATAAAAACAGCAACAAAATGTACTGCTGATGATTCCCTTTCCCCCTCCACCCCCCCAGATGCCCCAAGGGATTTTCTCAGGTGGATTTGTGGATCCGATTTCGTGATAATCAATCAATTCGTGTACCTTAAAATCGCTTTAATCAAAGCACGAATTCTGTTGCTTTATTTCTCTTGCTCTCGCACAAAACCACACGAATGAGAGATGAAGAAAGAATGAAAGAAATTGGCTGCACAGAACGAAACGAAAACCATTTGAAAGCTCGTTGACTTGTTTACTCCTTGGCCTGGTTTATTACCAAACTCTCACACTCGTTCTGCTTCGATGACAGGTCCGGTCCAGCAGCAGCAGCAGCAGCAGCAGTAGCAGCAGCAGTAGCTGTGCCCATAGCCAGGGCCATCGCACTTAAGAAGATTAAAGACTATTCGTTAGTTGGAACACTGCACACTGCAGGCATTGCAGGCATTGCAGGCACTGCAGGTCCTAGGTCCATTCGCGCTTTGCCTTGCCCTGCCCTGCCTTGCCTTGCCTCAACTTTCCATTTTCCGATGCGACTTTTCGCGGTCTGCGTCTCCATCTGCCTCTGACTCTGGACTGTTGGCAGCAGCCGGTGACAACTTCATTTGTTTGTGGCGTCTTTTACAATCAGCCCTAAAAGCCACAAAAGCCGAATTGCTTTTTATGCATCTCTCTCTCTCTCACACACCACGCTTTTCTTTCTTTCTTTTATGGCTCCAGCCTTAGCCAGCCCCAGTCCTTGATCGATCTACTGCTGGCGTAGGCGATTCTTAAATTATGTCTAAAATTAGAGAAAAATATTCGCTTACCTCTGGCTGCTCTTCGGGTGCCTTAAACATGGCACTCAACTCTCGCGGATCGTTTGAAAGAAAATGTTTATTGCGCTCTTGCAGCGTCTCCGCTTCCTGGGCACATTTCCGCAGTTTCTCACGATCTTGCTTGCTCAATAATACATTCCTTTTATCATTCACCTCCAGCTTTTTGTATATGTAATGCAAATCCAGAAATATATCTGCCAAATCCTTATTCATTTCGTACATATTCAGTTTGCACGACTCGAGTTCGGTTCTCATTGTTTGTAGCTTTTCGGCAAGGGCATTCGGGCTCTGCAATTGAGCCATAACCTTTGGCATGATGAAGCTCATGATGGCCTCTTTATTGGTGGCATCAAAGCGCCTGATTGACTTCAGTTCCCTTAAGCATTGTGCCACAAGTTTCTCCATTTGTGGATCAGCATTTGAGCCTTGCTGCGAGCAGTCGTCGATGAAGCTGGCGCTTAATTCATTTAGCTCTTCGTTGGGACTGAGGCTTGGCCTTGGTTCGTTTGAGTTTGTTGGCAAATTGTCATCCATTGTTTTTGGCAAATTTTCATTAATTTTGGACATGTCGAAAGAGTTTTTATAACTAGAAAATTTCAAATGGAAAATAGTGAGTGCTCGAATGAATTGTTTCCCAGCCTGCTGTGAACTACAAAAATGTTGTTAGCGCTTCAAAAAATATAAAAAATGAATTTTCTACCAATATTCCCATAGATTGTATGCCCTAAAAACAATTAAATAATTTTGAAGTAGTATCAAACCATAATCCTAAAAATTCCCAAAAACTTAAAACGCTTTTTGCAATAATAAAAATCAACTGAGTAATTTCATCTTTTGCAGTTCGAAAACCAATCGCTTCACCCCATGCATACCTCCCCACCCAAACAGCATCCATTTCAAATAAAATGCCAGAGATGGTGTACAAAAGGGGGTTGGTGGGGGGGGGTCGCAGAATGACGGGATGGCAAATCAACAGCGCCAAATTCAATTGCAAATAGTGAAACACATTGTTCTCGTGTCTCACTGTTTCGTTGACAATTTTTTAGTTTTTATTATTTTTCGCCCCACGATTCGAGGAATGCAAAAAAAAAAATATATATATATGTATAGCGAAAAGGGAGAGTACGTTGGCAGCAGGGGGGGATGAGGCGGAGGGTGAGAAATCGAGAAGAGACATCGACGACGCTATGGGAATTTATTGAAAATGCTTCGATTTATGTTTAGTGCGATATTTGCATTTTGGCTGACGAACGGGAGGCAGAGGCAGCAGCAGCAGGAGCTGCAGAGCTTCGGCGACAAATGCAACAGAAATATGTTTTCAGTATTGTGACAGCACCCAAAGGGGATAATGGTGGATGGGGTGGTAGAGTGCGCGGGTACTGGGAGGGGGGGGATAGACAAGGGAATGCAATCATTGTTCGAGATTGCATCAGAGTGCTTGCTGGTTCGCTGCGAAAACCTTGAGCTAAATTTTTGTACTTTTCGCAAATAAATGAAAGTTATCGAAAATCAAACCAAAAAAAAAAAAATGAATCCAAGTGAAGCGATTCCAATCTTTAATATTCATTAAAGCCATAAGTGAGGTGTTGATAAAAAAAATGTTTGCTGTTGCAAATTCAAGTTCTATTTTATTTATTTAATTTATTTGTTTTTTATTTATTATCTATTTGTTATTTATATATTATTTATTTATTATATATTTCTTATTTATTATAATTTATTTATTTATTATTTATTATAATTTATTTATTTATTATAATTTATTTATTTAATAATATTTTCTATGAGAGAAGTAAAACAAATTCAAATCGAAACGTTTGCAATTTTATACTAAAGCTTATGCCTTTATTTCCCACTCTTATATTTCAGTTGCATATCCCTGGCACTCTTATACGGGGCCTTGCTTTAGCCGGCCGTCGTGTGCCACGGCTGTTGCTCTACTTTTGGCTTCGTGTTTTCAGCCGAACCTACCAAACTGGCCTGGTCCTACCGCAACCAAAAACTTGGTCAACATTATTTGCTCGCCTCTCTCTCTCTCTCTATGCGTCTCTCTTCGTTGCTCCATATTCAGCAATAGAGAGAGAGAGAGTGAGAGAGAGTGTGTCTCCAAGTGACTGATTCGCTCTCTTAAAGGACTCGTGTCGTGCCCCGCTGTCACTTCGTTTTGTGCCAGTTTGAGTTTATGTCTTCATCGTATTGGCGGTCTGCTGTAAATTTATTTACATGCCGGTCAGGCTTTGCTTCCCCTTTTTGTTTTGGTGGAGTGGTGGAGTATGCTCTATAAATTAAGCATAAATCAGTTGCACGGCAAACCATTTGATTTCATTTGACGGAAAACTCTGCACCCCCCTTTACGCACCCCTCATCCACTCAACTCAGATTTTCAAGTGACATTTCTCTTTGTCTCACGTAGAGCGCTCCATGCATGGCTGGGCTTAAAGGCCGAAACGCATCAAGCAATTGATGAGTGGAGTGTCCGGCTGTTGGTATCATGGGGGGGATCTAGGGGTCGCAGCGGTGCTTGTCACGAAATTGATAAGCAAATAGCCATTTAATGGGCTTGAACTGAATACAACGAGTAATCGAAATGATTAGCCGTGAATGAGGTTAACGCTGGATTGAGGTTTGAGGCTACAACTATTGTTGTCTAGCGTTTTGCCCCTGATTTGTATATTTTTTGTAAGTCGTTTAAAGAGCTCCACGCATCAATCGATATATTTTATGGCACACTTACAACTAAGAGCGGGGTTTGGCTGTGCATCGTCTTGTTTGATGATGCAGTGCCTTACATTGTTAACCAAAACACACAACTTGTGGGCTCATAAAATCAGGTGGAATGTGTTACACACTCGATAAAGATATTAACTTATTTTTGGAGAGAATTTTTTGTATGCCCAAGTTATAGACTTTAACAGGGATTATTGTTTTATAGCTTTTTTAGAGCTGCAAGTCATTCTGCTTCCTGTATATAAAGAGGTTCCAGTGAAGAATAAAAGATATCTCCTATTTAAGTATCAAATAATGTAAATATTTGTATGGGTAAAATATTCTACATTATTCAAATATTCTACATTATTCTACAAATCGTAGAAAAAATCTTAATAGACTATAATTTTAGAGCTGCAAGTCATTCTCCTTCTTGTATGTATAGAAGTTCCAGTGAAGAATAAAAGATATCTCCTATTTAACTTTCAAATAATGTAAATATTTGATATAGTAAAAATATTATAAATTATTCCACAAATATTCTACAGTATTCCACAAATATTCTGCATTATTCTGCAAATATCCTACATTATTCCACAAATATTCTTCATTATTCAACAAATATTCTACATTATTCTACAAATATTCTAACATTATTCCACAAATATTCTACATTATTCTACAAATATTCTTTATATTCTAAAAATCGTAGAAAAAATATATTAATCGACTAAAATCGCATTGCGGTTTTTTAATTTAAAAAAATATATATGCAAATTCTAAGTATAAGGAGCGATCGACTTATCTCGCCTACAGCCTAATTTTTGGTCTCGTGCAAAGTACGTTCAAAAGACTCTCATTTGTCGCACAGTGTTATTATGCGCCAATAAATTACCTTTAAGCTTAATGTCTGCCCACGCTGGCTTCGCCAACAGATTGAAGGGCATGCCACGCCACTCAAAACATCACCCACACAAATATAAACCACCCATATACATATACTGCAGCAGATACACACACACACACACACACACACACTTGTTAACCCCATACTAGCCAATGGCTGGGGGGTGGGGGGATGGGCTTGGGGTTTTGTAGCAACATTTTGCCACGTCATAGAAAATACGCAATAAAATCAAATCATGCTCGAAAATTTGATGAATATTCATGACATTAAAAGCTCTTGAATTATTAACGAGTAGAAGATATTCAGTTTTGGGCCAAATGCGCCACTGTAAAAGCACTTGGCCAGGACATAGTACTCTCTCCACTCTCTCTACTCCTCCATACTCATGCATATTCCACATGCCCCCCCCATAGCCAGCTACCGAGCCACATCACCATCCATCGATGAGGGGGTTTTTCGAAACTGTTCAATTATGAATTTTTGACAATGTCGTGGGGTGGAGCGGGGCCAGTGGATGATTCCGAGTCGAGTCTGTGAGGCAAAAAGGTGCAAAATAGGCAAAAATGTGTACAGGAAGAGAGAGAGAGGAGTGAGAGAGAGAGAGATAAAGGGGAGAGCTGCTAACAACCCTTAAATGGGCCTGATGGGCGGCATTGGAATCAACCCAACCTGACATCCCACACACACCTTATGTGCGAGTGTGTTGAAGTGTCATTGAAAATGTCTTTGGCAGAGTGCAAGTGCAACCGACTGGGGCACAAAGGCAAGGCAATGCACAGACCAAACAAAACAAAACAAAAAAAGCAAAAAAGCAAAAAAGGAAAAGGGCAATGCAAGGCAATGCAAGTGAAAGTGCCAACAAAGGCCCTGATTAGACGATGAAAGCGACAAAAAGCAGATGGCAGGACTGAATGCATGTTAATTGAGGACTGAGCAGGATGAAGACAAAGCGTAAAAGGGACATCTGTAAAAGATGTATATCCTGCACCTGGACCTGGACCTGTGTGTCTTATCTGTGCGGGGAAACTACGATTTTTGCACACGAAAAAATTCTTGAAAATTAGCACAAGTGAAAATGGAAATGAAATTGCTTACAGCCAGGACCTTTGTTACTCTTTCCCTTCCAGACAACCATTTTTCTTTCCTGCTGACACTGCAGAAAAAAAAAAAATTATGAAAACAAAACAAATTTGTTTTTGCCCAATTTTCCATTTGGTATTTTTCCTCGCTGCTGCTTTGACCCAAAAACAAAAATGTGAAACTGTCTAGACATGCCCCACACATATTTGGAAACGTGAAAAGGGCTTCAATACCCTTAACCTTTTGTTAGCTCCATTGATTTTTGGCAATTATGGGGCAAACAACAAAATATACACAACATTTTATGGGAATTAAGCGCAGAAGTGCTGCTGCTCGGCTGTGTTGACGGGTTTGCATCGCAGTGCGGAAAGGCTAACAATCATAAATGACAATTTACAATCAAATTGGAATTTTATTTACGAATATTGGCAGTAGGGTAGGGCTGTGGGCTGCTCAGACAAAGGTTAATTGACAGATCAACGCAAAAATGTCAATAAAAAAAAAATAAAACAAATCCTTTCTTCCCACACGAATCGTATTAAATCAATGGAAATTAGTTTAAAAATATGCTGACATTATTTTACCATCAAAAGCAATGATATTTCGCTAGCTTAAAGTTCAATCTCCATTGGTATGCCCTTCAACCCACTCACAGGCCAATCCATGCCCAATGTCCAACCAAAAGGACATTCTTTAAGCGCAGAGAGCGCGGGCAGTAACCATAAAAGAAAAACATAATGACCAACAAAAAAAGTGGCACATAAAAAACGAAATCAAATTATTACTTAATTATTCTTAAACGCCTATTACCGCAAGGACACAGCTGTTGCTGTTGCTGTTGCTGTTGCTGCTGCTGTTAGCCGTTGCCTTGTGGCTCTAGAGACAGTCAAGGAGGGAGAGGGCACTCTCCCTTATCTGTGTATCGGGAGAGAAATGTTGATTTCATTACAAAATAAATAAGG